TATTTTTTCCATTGAAACAAAAAAACAGTAAATTTAATAACCATCTTTCTTAAAGCTTAATGGGCCTTCTACTGTAAAATAATTTTTATGTCCACAACCAAACATTCTCTTCGGACTAGGCCTAGTTGGCTTTAGTAATCTGATCCAGTAGGTTTTTCCCTTTAAAGTATAAAACTTTAAAAAAATGTTAAATATAAGTCATCACTATATAAAAACCCTTTAATCAACTAAAAGATAATTCAATCAATAATAAAAAAAAATATAATTCATAAAGAAATATATGTTTTTGATAATAAAGAGGTTTTAATAATAATGTCCTTTTTCTAAAACAGTAATAATGCAAAACCACAAAATGCCTTAGTTTTATTAAAAATCTTAATAGGCCTATATATTGATAAGCATTCCCCTTCTTTACTGTTTAACCCCACATAAAATGGGCTTAACAACAATTTTTTTTTTAAATTTTAACCTCTCTTTTAAACTAATAACAACTATTAATAATAATAGCTTAATAATTATTCGAATAATTTTATTTTCGAATCGCATGGGTCATTGGCCAACATGTCACACAAATGGATACACAAGTTTTTTCTGATTTTAGCAAGCCCCGCTCTCCTGAATTTAAGGTTCACCCCCTAGTTGGATAAAGATGGGCCATCAGATATTGATGTACCATCCTTAATTAAATGTTTCTTCTATTTTAATCTCGAAGAATGGAATTATCGAGGTAAGACAAATTTGGGGTACGACATCTTCCATCAGGTAGACATCCATCTCTTCCAAGGAAAGCCAAAACTCCATGAGAGAAGTCAAACCTGACCACCCCGGGTTTACACAACAGAGGCACATGAAGCAAAAATGCCTCATAAATAAAACCACAACCATATCAGTAGCTCCCAAAACACTTTAGTCCTTTCTTATCCAAAGTACCAGAAAGTATCTTCCCTGGTCTCATCCAGAACAGAACAAAAGGCCTTCTCTAATACCAATTGAAATTCTTGTATCCAGATAATAATGTCCTAACACATGTTGAGACAAATATCTCTGCATCACATGGACAAAATACAACATACTGATATAAACCTTATCAGTTCAAAGTCGTAACAGATGTTCCAACATCTATTATGACATGTTAATCAATCAAGAAACAAAACTGAACAATGCAGAATGATAAAAACACAAAGATATGATGACCTAGTTTAGTGGACACAGTCCTACTCTGGTGGCTACCAAGCCAAGAAGAAAACCCATTATCAGTAGTATTAGTTCAAAGCTAAACTCCCCCGTTACAAATTCTCACCTAATCCCTACCCAATGACCCTTTTACTTAGGAACATCCTAAATATGAGAAATCACCATCTCACTTCCTAAATCACCTCAGTGATATCTAACAACCATAAAGTTCAGTCAAGACTCTTGACTAACAAACACACTTGGATTTGCTTCAAAGCTTCATCCAAGAACAATATACATTCTATACTTAAAAGCTTAAGAATGAAAAAATAATAATTATAAATCTATAACATCAGTCCTACTCTCATACCACCATGATATTCGAGAGGCTCACACATACCAACTCTCCTAGAGAGTGGATTACAGACTCATCCCTAATAATCTAAAATTTGTATTTTCGGATGGTACATTTTCTAAGTTAATAACCTTCTATTTATAACCCTTTTCCCAACTGGATTTTGGGCTTCAAATCACAGCATGACAGTTGCTACAAATTTGCAAAAACTTCTGCATAAAGATAGGTTTTCATTCATGACTTTCCTAATTTATCTCCATAATTAGAAAGTCAATATTCTTCTTGATTTCAGTTTGAATCTTCCAGAACTTAAAATCAGTGCCACATACGATAACATAACGTTCCAGGATATTCTCTATCTGTTAAATCTAAAATTGATCCAATAGCCCAGCCCAAACCAGTCACGATGTCGAATGACTCAATATAGGACATCTTATCTGACGTGTTGCTCCAGATGATGAAACATCTCTACTCAACATTTTTCTTCATAAAATAAGACCTCTTGCACAACATGTTAGAATGTCCTATTAAACATATTGCTGCCATATTTATTTTACTATAATTAATGCCAACCATAAAATAGAGAACTAACAAAAAGGATTTAACATGCGGGATTAGATGCATACCTAATCTTTCCTTAAGTGTTTTAATACAAGGAGCATATCTTAGCCTTTCAACACTCGTATCCTATAAAAACAACTCAACTCATCAAACTTGCTTTTTCACCCTTGTGCGACTTTCTGAAAACCTTTTTGAAATGAATATGCCTTAGCCATTTCAATACAAAAGGCCAAATCTTGGCGAGCTCAATAAACTAAAAAACAAAAACCTTTCTTCTCACTCCTTTCTCAATTAATAAGTAAAAGATCACAAACTATCACACTAACACTCGAACACACACTAACTAAATGGTTCCCATCGAGTACGATAGATGTGAAGGGTGCTAATATCTTCCCTGTGTATAACCGACTCCCGAACCCTCTCTTGGTTACGATGACCATTTCATTTCTTTTGCCGATTTTATTCGATATTTTCCCTTTCCTTTTGGAACAAATAAATCTTGGTGGTTACTTCATTGTTTTAAATATTTTGAGCGTGCGGTGCACTCGGGTATTTTTTGCGCTGCATCACTTGGAGTTACACAATTCCTCAAGCATAAGGCTCGAAAAGGCCAAATGCTTTTGGCAGAGGTTCGAGTCCAATATCTAAGAAACTCATATGTACACATTCCCCTAAGTATGAGACCCACAAGGGAAAATATTTAAGGGAAAAGTCTTGATCTTGTCTAATCTTATTATTTTATGGATCAGTAATTAATTTCCCTTGTTAATTTTAATTGGGATGTACACCAGTGCTCAGTTTTAACCTCGTCAGCGAGGTCCAATGAAGACTTTCTATGGAGAACTTGCTTATGAATTGTCTGTCATTCATATTTGATGATTTCTAGCTTATATAAGATCTCTTTTACTCTTAGTTCTTTATCACCAACTTGTTGGTCCATTATGTTACATGTTCCATTGTCTAGTCGAAGGTAGTAAATGAGAATTAAGGCCCGTGTCTCTTTGTCTGAGGCATGCCCTTTAGGGATATTCAATCAATTTTAAATATTTTACCTACCTGTATAAATGACATGGATTAGATACATTGACTCTAGGGTAGATTGGAACAAGAATGATCTATTTGCTCTGGTCCATTTGGCTGACCCGGTCTGGTTTCACTATGTGGATAGTTTAAACCGGGACGGACTATGTCGACTTTGGGTTTGGACCTGACCTAAACCTTGAAATGTACACAAGCCCTCAAGCTCGAGGCTCGAAAGGGAGAAATGCTTTAAGTAAAGGTCTGGATCTCATCTCTAGGAAACCTGAAATGTAGACAACTCCTTAAGCGTGCGACCATCAGAGTGAAATGTTTAAGGGAAAAGTCTTAATCTCGCTCCATCTTTTTATTTTATAACTCAGTAATTAGCTCGCCTTGTTAATATTAATCGAGATGTACAAGTTTATTGGCCTTAGTTACATTTATGTTTTGTTTAGAGTTTAAAGTTTATAATTTAGGTAAAAAGACATATCTATTTAATCTCCGGTTCGCCGATATTTTGAATTTTTTTATTTAATTTATTTTGTTTGAGTTGGAGCATTTATACCAGTAGTAATGCGAAATAAATACACATATTCCCAAGTTCCTTTGTGACCCTTCTAAAAATTATTTTAAAATTAAATACATATGTATCTCTTATAATTTTGTCCATAACAATTTTTTTTTAAATACAAATAATAAGTGTAAAAATGTTATAGATAATATTTAAGTTGGTATGGAACATATACTTAAATAACTTTACAGTATTATTTTTTTACTTAGTAATTAGTATTATAATTCTTTAAGTTTTAAAAAACTTTGAATTTTAATATTATAACTTTTTTAATTTTAAACAAAAATTTAAGTAATTTATTATTTTGTTAAGGATTGTGGTAAACTCTAATTATAAACTAATGTAGATAGATTAGAATCAAATAAATATTTCACAATTCATTAATAATTATAGTCGAATCAGTCTAAATTATTTAAAATATGAGATTATGTAGAACAGACGGACTTACTTATTCTCAACTTTAATTGTAGTCATAGATACATAAAAATGTTGTTGGTATTCAGTTCTATATCACGAGTGCAAACAAATTTTAAAACCTAGTTAAAAGATCAATGTACTTTAAAAACTTTAGCAAGAACTTATGTTGGGCTTATTGAGGTTGAGTAATATTACTAAACATAACTAATAAAGTGATATATTAGCAAAAAGTTGTTCATATTTTGAATAAACAGACTAAAATATGCAAAAAAAAGTGATAAATCTAACACGGACTAATATTTCAAAAGAGCACGGTGATTTCTTTAAAACCTAACACAACTAATCAAGTTTATAGAACCGAACATGAACTCAAGACAATTTACGTAGCATGCTGCCATTCAAACCAAGCTTATGGAAGTGATAAATCATTTTGAAATTTGAATTTAGATAACTCGTATTTAATTTTATTTATAATAAACTAATCCGTTTTAGTAGGTTTTAAACTATTAGAAAACTATATGTCGAAAAAAGAACTTATAGAAAATTAATTAATCTTATAAACATATTCATTTGTTGAGAAAAAAACCTAATGCATTTCTTATCTATAAATTTACATACGTGGTTAATCTATATTAAGTATTAAAGCACAAAAAGTTGTTCATATTTTTATTGGATGAATCAAGATGCACAAAACATTCCATAAATCTAAAACAAACAGTAAGGTTTCATATTCACAGAGATGGTCTATATCTATGATTTAATTATAAATCCTTCATTCAATACATATTGTTACGGTTCTTAACACCTTGACAATAACTCTGACAGAATTGAAAACTAATAAAATCAATTGATAACAGAATATATATATTTTATTACAAATGAAGAATAAAGAATCACAACATGTTAGTGAGCCTTTCTTCTTTTTCTATCCTCAAGCTTCCAAGTAGCCTTCAACGACTTCCATTTATGTTCAAAATTGTGACTGAACTTTTTGGCAATTTGGTAAATATGATGCCTTGGAGGATACATTAGCATTGCATTAGAGAACACAAGCCTCATGTCACTAGCAAACTCATCTGGTGTTGCATACAACCTCATTTTTCTCTCTATTTCCTTCAAACCTATTGCCTTTGACTTATCAACCATTGCTCTCATTGGAGGATCTTTCAAATCCCAACCATCTCTACCTACCAACATCCTCTTCAAAATCAACCAACATTCCCTCCTCTTAATACACTCCATTGGTTTCTTCAAGGTACATTCTTCAGGTCTTGTGACCGAGGCCGTTTTCGTACAAAGTCTTGAACTTTCCTTATGACCATTAAAATCTATTTCTGTTCTTGAAAATTGGTTCTTGATCATCTTCTTGTTTTCAACAGCCTTTGGTTGAGACATAACTGTGTTGGTAACTTGGTTCTTGATCATCTTCTTGTTTTCAACAGCAATGTTACTATCCTTTGGTTGAGACATAACTGTGTTGGTAACTTGGTTCTTGATCATCTTCTTGTTTTCAACAGCAATGTTACTATCCTTTGGTTGAGACATAACTGTGTTGGAAACTTGGTTCTCGATCATCTCCTTGTTTTCAACAATAATGTTACTATCCTTTGGTTGAGACATAAGTGTGTTGGAAACTTGGTTCTTGATCACCATGTTCTTGTTTTCAACAGCAATGTTATTATCCTTTGGTTGAGACAAAGGTGTTGTTTTGGTTTGATAATTAGAATCAACCCAATAACATGTTACGGTTGGTCTTACAGAATCTTGAATCTTCCTTCTCTTGTTTTCATCTGTGCCACAAGAATCTGAATCACGTTTTCTAGAACCAGGAGGATAACTGAGCTTGACGATAAGTCTTTTACGAGGTTTTGTGTTCTCGGACATGGATGCTGTTAATGAACAAGGGTTTGTGTTGGATGGTGCTAAGGAACAAGGTTTGGTGTTGTGTGACATGGATGCTGTTAATGAACAAGGGTTTGTGTTGGATGGTGCTAAGGAACAAGGTTTGGTGTTGTGTGACATTGATGCGGAACAAGGGTTTGTGTTGGATGCTGAAGCATACATAATGGTGTAATCAAAGAACTAAAGTTGTTTGTTTGGAAAGAACCAAAGTGATCGCATGTATATATAATGCGGAAAAAGATTTGAATTTGATTTAATGCTAACTAGGATTTAGGATACATCATTAATACTTAAAACAACTTTTCAAAATTAAATATTTTTATCATTTTTATTATTTTTTAAATATTCTTATAAATAACTCATCGAAAAGGAAGGAGCCTTTATTTATTTTTTTATGAGAAGTTGTTTTAACCCACTTCTCATTTAAATATTGCAATTTTGTAAATTCTTTATTTTAAAATTTGTAACAACAAGGGCTAAGGTCGCTTGTAAATAGGTCTTTAAATATTAATCATTTTTTTACAATAATAAATAATAATTTTAATTTATCTTTTTTTTTTGTTTTAAAATTATTTATTTAAAATTTGTATATTTAATAAATATATTTAAATGGATTTAGTTGATATCACTATCTATTATTAAATCATAACACTCACATCTTGAATAATGATTGACTTCTTCATAATAGGCATTCTTTGTTCACAAATATCAACGTGTCCACCAAGTACAATAAACACGCTCTCAATGCATATGCTCTATGCTGCATAACTTGTTCATCATTGCCATTGGTCTGCAATGCCTCAGTCAGTTGGTGTCCATACAGATTCTCCATGAATCCAAATCTAGGATGACACCCTCAGATGTCTTCTATCTCATTCAGAGCGTCCTCTGGGTTAGCTCTCAAATAAGTCACCATCATCTCTAATGCCTCATCTTTAGTAATCATGGAGTAGTTTAATAATCTTTCTTTGACTGAAAGATGCAACAGGTGTAACACATCATCTAGTGTGATGGACATCTCACCATGTGTATGACATCTCAGGGTGACACCTCTCAACGAACGCTGACAACATGCCATTGTTAATAGTAGTATATTGGTCTTGCATAAGTCTCACATATCAAATAACTGCATCACATCGTGAAACCACTACTCCTGAGGCTGTTGCAGCCTTTCAATCTTCTGACCATGGTTAATGCATTTTAAAGCATCACAATACTATAGAAAAATGAATCATCGTCTAAAACTTTGAATATTATAACACATGTATTTCAAAGAATAAATATAGATGAATTTTACCTTTTCGTCCCACACATGCCTATAAGCATGATCCAGATGTAGAGGCAGCAACAATAAGTCATACAAGCCTCCTCTTAACTCCTCAAGAACGACTAAATCGACAACAGATGCATCAACCTGAGGTGCCTCAACTTGAACTAGCGGGCTTTCAAGGCACCGGGGGTGACAACTTCCTCCTTCGAGAAGACAGAGTTGAAGATACATGAATTCTAGAAGTTGACGACTACACATCAAACAAACTAGAACCGAATGGTGGTTGCGAGGGTCAGACTTTTCCCTATAAATCGAAGCATGTTGCGAGACTCTGTTGAGCCCCATTCAATCTTGGTTATCAACTATGTTGCCTATAATTAAATCACACAAGCATTACATTGTAGAAAAAATCAAACTCGGATGAAACACAATGAAAATCAAGCCAGACAATGCAGATAGACAGAATACGGAAATTCACTTACATATTTATGGAAAATTATACTTTTAACAAATACAGAATAACATTTCTGTATTAACCCGCAACTTAAAAAACGTAAATGGCATAAAGGCTACCTCCAACCCCAAGAATTCTCTCCCTCTCACCATTCTCTCCCTCACCTCTACCATCCTTCTTAATCCCATTACCTCTCCACCTTGACATTGCACTGAACATATTTTTACAATCACCTTTGATCTTTAACTTGATAAATTTCCCAGCCTCACAAACATCATCAACGACTTTCCAGGGTTTACAACACTACTACGGAAAACCTATTTAACAGCGGTTGAAAAACCCGTATAATCATGTGGGTCCATGCGTTGTTGTGTAGAGTGTTGTTGTAAATGTGTACTTACAATCACGGTTATGGGACCGTTGTACTATACTGGAAAAGGCGTGTCATATCACAATGATTAGTCATCTCAACCGTTCTGATATACCTAAAGGTCCCAGGTTTGATTCTTAGTATAAACATTTTGTAATTTATATTATTATGGTCAGCGTTCAATATACAACCACGATTAGGGATCATAACCGCTGTCAAAATTTATGTTGTTTTAAAAAAAAGAGTTTCTCTGCTTTTTAAATTTTTCCCATATTTTAACCCATATCTATTTTAACCATATCGGAAAATTAAAAGCAACCTGTATTTCAGTTAACAATGCATAAAGTTCATAAAAAACAGTTTATACATCAAAAGCCAACAATAATATTTATACAATTACAAAATATGTTTAAGCCAAATGTAATATTTACATCAAATATTAGAATATGTTTAAGCACATATATCTATACATCAAACATCAGAAACCTTAAGCACATTGTGGATATACGCCCAACATTTATGAAGACTTACAAAGTCCTCAATGGAATAAATGTGCCTTCACGGACCGCCTCAACCAATTTATCCTACACAAAATGAGCAACTTACATATATTGTTACAAAAGCAATTAAATAACAAATAACATAATCAAAACAAACCAGACTTACAATTTTCTCAACAACCACTCTTTATGCATCAGAGGTGTACTCCCCATTAGGTCTTAGTCGATCCCTCTTCCACTTCTCAATTGATTTTTTTTTAATTCTGTTAAAGTTTTGTAACAAAAAAAAAAGAAACTTTCGCCTTTTTTTTGTGTTCTCGAAGGGAGAGGATTTTAGAGCACAAGTTTGAATTTGAGTGAAATTTGTGTGAAATGAGAAAAAGCCCTTTTGAGAATTGAGTTGAAAGAATATATACACAATGCTTTAAGTCTTGTATGGCTTGTGTATTTTTGACATAATACTGAGTTTTAGACTTATTTCATGTACCAGTCGATATCGAACCCCCAAGCTCATGACTTTTGGTGCGGAATCCTGACGCGATACCTGAAATAAAATCGTCGAAAACGAAATTTGTGACGTCATGCTGAAAAAATCGTCCCGATACGATATAATTTGAGTGAGTTATGATGCTTCGAATGGCGAAAACTCAGTGTAAAAATTCACCGTTTGTCGTACCCCAAATTTGTCCTACCTCGATGATTTTATTTTTCAAGATTAAAATTGAAGAAATATTCAACTAAAGACGGTACAACAGTATCTGATGGTCCGTCTTTATCCAACTGGGGGGTGTACCTTAAATTCAGGAGAATGGGGCTATCTAAATCAGATAGACTCGTGTGGTCGTAAGTCCACTCGCGAAGCATGTTGTCCTATGGCCCATGCGATTCGAAAATGGAAAAAATTTTCAGACAACTGTTATGTCCTTAATTCTTAAAATCAACTTAAGGTTAAGTTGTTAGTTAGAATTAAATGTCAGTGCAATTACAAATAACAGGCCCATTAAAATAGTCTCTAAGTTAGCCCATTTGGCATTTGTGAGCAAGATTATTATCTGATTTTTGTTTATTGATTAATTTATTTTGCAAGTTTTAGTAAGAGTTTTAAATCGTTTTACTGGTTAAGAAATGATTTTGTTTCAAAGAAAAAGGGCATTAGTAGCAAAATTCCTTGCTATTATTGTTTTAATAAAAGAAATATATATATATATATATATATATATATATATATATATATATATATATATATATATATATATATATATATATATATATATATATCTTTATTAAGAGGAAAAGCATAATATATACATTGCTGATAAGTTTTTATTATAATAATATTTTAAAAGGAGTGTATGATTTAAAAGTCTATTGGATTAGGTTCTGAAAACGGTTCCAAAGCCCAATTAAATTAAAAAACTGGCTTTTGTTTGTTGTAATAAAAAAAATGTAGTTGGACTGAGTACAAAACGTAACGTGAAGCCCATTTAAATAAAAAAAATTGGTTTTTGCTATGTAAAACAACAACTTGTTAGCCCAATTGATTTTTAAAAAATATAAATTATTTTCTAGAAAAGGAAGCGCATGCCCAATTAAGCAAAAAAAAAAAAAGAACAGTCACTGTATCAATTCACCAAAATTAATGCGTGTTTTTTTTCCAATGAACACATCTTGTTCAAATTAAATTAAAACCAATATCCAAAACCAGTAAACCCCAGAATCATATCCAATCTAGAACGTAGAAAATCATATGAACCAAATCGTTTGCATTCAATACAAATCCAATTAAACAAAATCAAACCAGTACAAATCTTGCTAAAACAATCAGCACCCCAAATATGCAAATAAAATCCGAAACTTATCAATAATAAATCAATTACAATCATTTTTATAATCCCTAATTTCACTGAATCCTTAAATCTATGTTGTAACACTAAAAACCTAAAAAAACTAACTGTATATATACAGAAATAACAGAGAAAGAGGGTGGATACGAAGAAGAAAGGGACGGGGAATTTTACAGAAACATGCAGGAGCTAGATAGGGAGAAGACAGAGAGATACAGAACAAGGACGATAACTGGAATACGAAGGAGGAGAGAGGAGAAGAACTTGACAAACAGAGTCAGTGTTGAAGAAGGATGATTAGGGTTTCGATATCCGAAACCCTAATCGTCATCGCCCACCTCATCGTTCCTAATCGCGTTGCCGCCGCTGGACGCCATTGGAACTTCCGTCACCACCACCCTCTAGAGCCATCATTGTCCTGAAAATTAGAAGAAGAGAACATATCAGAATCAGAAGGAGCTCTGGATATCAGAAATCCAGATCAAAGGTAGGTGAAAGGGCTTAACTTTGTTTTACGGTTTTTTGCAAATTGGGGATTTGTGGG